GGACAAGTGTTCTCGGCAAGTAACATGCGACCGGACAAGTGGTTGCCGAGGTACGTGTGAAGTGTCTCAAATTTGCCGACGTAAGCGTTTCAGGGCGTGGACACTTGGTAGTCAACATCGGTTAGCCTCCCGAGGAGTTAAGCTAAACCACTTACACTCTTATCGCCAGGATAATGTTTAGTCTTTCATTTATATCGAAAATCAACATTTTTTCAGGACCCTAAAAATCTTGGGATTCACTTCTTCCTACGTAACAAACAAAAGAACATCATTTAAATAAAGGTTTACATGAAGGTTCAAAAAATTTCGACAGTAGATAATTTCTGAAATGAATAAACTAATGTTCGTAGGGCAGGAAGTATTTGAAACATTGACTACTTATGTTTACTGCTTCGTTCGCCGACCCCTAACCCCAAGCCTGTTTTGATCAGGAAAGAGCCAATCCTTCAACCAAATACACCGAGCAGTATTTGCTGATGACCGAGAGAGAACTTCCCTCCAGCTGAACGCCCATTACAGACGTAATTAAGAACTAATTCTTCAATAAAAATATTTGTGGATCAAAGATATATGACAATGAGATATGATAGCATGGATAACTTCTCAAGGCTCCGAAATACAAATGAACATTTATTTGCAGTCGTTAGCTCGACTTACACTTGCGTCTCTAACACTCATCAATCTTAGGAACCTGATACCAGTTCATTCCATCGTTTGAGCGGCATACTCGTAAATTTTTAATTATTATTGATAGAAATGCAATAACACTTCAATCTTCTTGACTGTATGTACATTTTCAGCCGAACTTTGATGTACATTTCGTTCGGGTTATCACATTTTGTGTGATAGGAAACACTACTAGGAAGTGCTGGCATATTTCTGTTTTACGGCGTATTTGCTGAGCATCAAGCTGACCTCCGAGGGGATAATTGACGTCGCCGCTTATGACTGATGGTGTGAGGCCTGTCTCTCGGCGGCGCCTCGTAGACCGAACCTTTGGCTTCATTTGCTGCATCTCTCTTATAGTCTACGAGTCTACAATGACGAGTAGGATACTCGTCATTGCTGCCCACTCTATCGTTTGTCTTTTATACATCCCTCTCTTTTTCCTATCAAATATTACTTCCCACTGTATTCCATGTTTGTATACTGTATATGCAATTGTTTTCTACTCTAAATATTTGTATATATGCAATTGTTCTCTATATGCGCACTATTGCTCGTACATGTATAAATTCTTCTGCCTCCTACTCGATAACTTATGTGATATTGTGTTATACTCAATTACTTACTAAATATTGCTTCTCTCTTCATTCATTCATTCTAGAGGTATAATGAATCTTATTTTTCAACATTTGCGCATGAACTAATGCTTTGGGCAGGTTTTCCCCTCCTAAGGCACATTTTTGCACATCATCATGACATTTGTTGATATTTTTAGTGAATGTAAAGTTGTTGGCTCTTAAGAATGGTTGCATAACTCAGGTGACGCGGTATCCTGTCAGATAACTTACATTGCTTCGAAGAATTACCTTAATTAAATCATATCATTCATCAGTAACGCTTGAACAAATACGTCGCGTTTCTATCGTTGGTTATTCTTTTCATTTTTGTGGCTATTTTTGAGTGAAGGTAAAATTGGTCTTTCGTTGGTTACTCTTTTCAAGGGACAAAATCATGATATTTGTGGCTATTTTTGAGTGAAGGTAAAATTGGTCTTTCGTTGGTTACTCTTTTCAAGGGACAAAATCATGATATTTGTGGCTCTTTTTGAGTGAAGGAAAAATTTTGTTCTTTCGTTGGTTAGGTACTCTTTTAAAGGGACAAAATCATGATATTTGTTACTCTATTTGAGTAAATGTAAAATTTGGTTCTTTCGTTGCTCTTTTTGAGTGAATGAAAAATATGGTTCTTTCGTTGGTTACTTTTTCAAGAGACAAAATCATGATATTTGTTACTATTTTTGAGTGAATGTTAAATTTGGATCTTGGGAATGGTTGCAAAACTCAGAGCGACGCGGTATCGGGTCACATTACGGACGATATCGCAGCCCCTGGCAATTGTGTTAAGGAACGTCAGCGCGGATTTGGGCGTACGGCGTCCGTGGACTTCTTGAAGACTTTCCTCCGCTTGACCACTAGCCTCGAGAAATTCGAATGCAGAAGAATGATAAGTAATGTCAAGTTTAATATTATTTTACATTAGTTCTTTACAGTTAAATTCTTCTGGTGTAAGATTTTTTCTCGTGAATATTCCGTTTTTGCCGAACCTATTCTGTCAGCGATTTATTACTAATTTAAAACATATTCGAGTATTCATCCCGTATCATTTTCATTTAGGCTATATTTCCATCATCAATGTTTCGTTGGTTCTGACATATTTCCTTTACTTCATTAGTTTTATTTTCTTAAATCTTCAACAATGATTTTCATACGTAATATTTGTGATAGAAAATTGTTTATTCAGAAGGCTTTGGGAAACGCCTGATGTTACAGTAATTTTTCGCTTGCTTCTGTAATGTTAAATCGGAAAAAAAACTTTAAACTCTTAAACGTTTCGGGTTTTTCTGCAATGGCCGAAAAAATTTTAGAATTTATATAAGATTTTGTATTTAAAATGTTTTTAATTAAAAATTTCCGTGTATATCCTACTGTATTACTAATTTGGCAAGTAAGATAGTATGCTGAAAACTTATTTATCAGTCCATCTAAATTTATCTCTTCATGCAAGTTTGTCACAGATAGCTTAATAAATGGATCTTTTTTAATTTACTCCTGTTTCCTTTATTGGTAGTAATTTTCTTTAATCCACTATGGTGAGTAATTACTTTTTTAATTTTTGTTAAATAATTATTTATTAGAAATGTCCAAACATTATGGTTAAAATAATTTATGTTCTTCAAACTGGATGTTTTTGCGTTTGACTTTCAATCTATGATGATTACTAATTACAATTTATTCAATCAGAGTAAATGTAAACATCGCAATCAAATAAACGACTTCTATACACTTCCGTCTCATCTCCAGCATCCTAAATATTCCTTTCCCAATCTTGATCAACCCACACAAACAACCTTGCCCTGTGCATTAAAAAAATTCTCATGGCTTGCCAGAATGTAGTGGATAGCCAATTTCTCGGAGACTAGAAACTCTGGAATTTCACCCAGTAAAAATCATCGGTGAACTATAGGTGGCCATCCATACGCCAAACATGCACGCCGATTAACAACCCTTGATTTATGAAAGAGTGACCAGGATCGTCAGGCTGAAAAATAGGCTCTGTTCTGGCGGCAGTGAAGTTTGGTAATCAATATGAGAGAAGATCTATCACGATTCCTTGGTCGTGAGATTGATAGCTGGACTGCAGCCAAGATACGAGACGAGCATTAAAGCGACTGCTGTAGTGTCGGCTCGCCGCGCTCGGTGTTAAAATTACGGCTGGTCACAGCCGGGGGTTTGGCCTTGCCGTGCTTGGGTGACAGGTTGTGTTTTGGTGCATTCATATATCAACTTGGTGACTCCTTTTGTGCGTTCATACATTTACGTTTTGATGTTATTTGGTGCATTGATACATCAACTTGTTGACAATGTTTGGTGCGTAGTTGACTTATTTCGGTGCATTCATACATCTACGTGTCGATGTTATTTGGTGCATCAATGCATAGACTTGTTGACATTGCTTGGTGCATTGATACATCAACTTGTTGATATTGTTTAGTGCGTCGGTGTATCAATTTACTGACATTATTTGGTGCATTGATATGCATCTACGTTCCGCTTGCTATAACGCCTTCCATGATGAATGGTAAACAAAGATGTAGTAGTAAACATCGCAACGTAGTTGAAAGCTCAATCGAAGCCTAAGGCTCAATCCTCATCTTAACCTACCAAAAACAAAAAATCGCATGATACGCAAGACCGAAATAGAGCATCGAAAGCGGTAATGTGAGGAAATCACCATCACCTTCTCCCAAGTCACTACTGTAAATCATAACTGCAAGCATATTGCACAGGACCTATGCTTTCATCACGGCCTATAAAGACATAAACTTCGAGCAACTTAACATTCATGAACCATCAAAGCAAATTTTATTTACCAAATTGAATAAATATTTTTTCAGTAATATAAATTATTTATAAAGCTACATTTTAATTTATTAAAGAGGTTTTGGGAATTTGGTTATTGATCTAAATTTTCGAGTGAAAGTCTTTTGATAAGAATTTTATGCGCTTAACATTAGACAAAAATAATGATTCTCTTATTTTATATCTGTAGACCAAGGAACTTAAAAAATGTTTGAATAATTGGTATTAACGTGCAATCATCAACGGTGGCTTGTATGCCAAACACCTTGTTGGTATCATTATTTATGGTTCATATAATAATGACTCGGTAATTACGATTGCCCAGAGCAGGCTTTGCAATCCAAAGTGCATTTTAATTGACTTTAGGGGCATGGTCAGCGGGCCCGTGCCCGGGCAATTTCGTGAACAAGAGGCGTGTTCGTCCGTAGGCGTGGCGGCTCCAAGATTTAGCGACCAAGGGCGGACCTCGCTCGGTCAATAGGCTCTACTCACCCTCGATTTCTCGTGAGCAACGCGCCCCTCAGTTGCCCACGGGCCGTCACGTGGGGAGGTGTGCGTCAGGATCCGCTCGTGCCAGCTGCCCTCGACCCTGCGTGCCACGTGCGATCCCTGTTGAAATTGCTTCAGTTTTTCACCGCAGTCGCTTATATTTCGAACTGATGAAAATATCTAAATTTTAAAATGTACTCATACGTGAAGAGTGTTGTGGTAGTTTAGATAAAAGGCACACAAACAAATACTTTTGAAAACTGATTTCAGCAAAGCCGCCTGGCAGATACTGAAGCGTGCGATGAGCATCCTTCGATGTGAATTTCGTCATACCGAAGAAATCATGAAGTAATTTATTGACGCGCATGCATATTGGGGCAAAATATATTTTTAAAGCTCAAGATATATGTTGAAAAATTATTTGCTTTGGTTGTCAACAAAATACTAAAATAATTCGACACGAGAAATTCTGAAGTTAAGAATCACGTTTCAATTTGAACAAAAGTTTCGTGTTCATCTCAACTTCTGCTTAATTAAAAATCGAGGTTAAGGAAGACGTCTTCGATCTTTAGGTGTCATTTGAAGGTAAGCAACTTGATGTAAAATTAGATTGTCGAAATATTCTTTACTGAAAGAAATAATTTAAAACGATGTATAACAGAATTTTTAACTTTTAATGTATTACTGGAGAAACCCAAAGTTGTTGTTTGGATTTACTAAGGTTTCATTCAGTAGTTTAATTATTTATAATTAAAATTTAATTTTAAATGATTTTAAAATTATCTATGAAACTCTTGATAATGGCTCTGCGTGTCCATGGCGGATTACGTAATTAGTTGACCTGCCAAAACTGGTCCAGTCACCCGGTTTTGGCCCAGTTTAAATTATTTATTCCGGTTCCTACTAATTAATATTCTTTTTTTTTTTGTTCCCAAATAGGAAAGATTGTCATCCTGGAATAAATCCTTGAATACTAAAATAAATATAATCCTATTGATTCGCTCAAAAAAGCACCATTAATTTCAGTTTTATTCGAGAGAAGTAATTAGTATTTTTGAATAAATCTGAACAATTTCCTTGATTAAGACAGACATGTATTTTTCTCGACAATGGTTTTTATCGAATTGTTGCTCTGCCATACGAGCAAAAATATTTAAATCAATCACTAATTAAATATAAATAACCAAATTTGTTTTTGTTCAGCAAAAAGGCGCTGGACCATATTAATTTTATTTTACTTGGCGACTTAGGTTGAACAAAATTTTATGAATCATACACTAATAACAGAGGTAAATAATTGACTCATCGTCTTATGATGAGTCACTTGTCCCCAATTTGAATACTAACGACAATTTTACAGCTCCCAATTAATTAAAACGCTCATTATTGGTGAATAATTAACCAGCGTAGAGATTGACGGTAAATTCAAGCCGAGCGTCGACCGAGTTGCACGAACTTTCTCCTTCTGAATTATTAAAGCCTGACGAATAATTCGGAGCTAAACTTTCTCCTTGTAATTTGTAATAGACTGGCGAAAATTTTGGAGTGAAACTTTCTCCGTTTCATTTATTAAAACCTGACAATTAATAAGGAGCTAAACTTTCTCCTTGTAATTTGTAATAGACTGGCGAAAATTTTTGAGTGAAACTTCCTCCGTTTCATTTATTAAAACCTGACAAATAATTTAGAACGAGACTTTCTCCTTTTCATAAATTAACAAATGACGATTAATTCGAAGAGATACTTTTTCATTTTCATTTATTAAAACCTGACGAATAATTTGGAGCAAAACTTTCTTACTTTCATTCATTTACAACCAACAAATAATTTGGGGGCGAAAATTTTACATTTTCATTTCTTTAGACATGATGAATAATTGGAAGTTAAACTTTCTCCTTTTCATTCATTAAAGACAAAGAAACAACTTGGAGCAAAATTTTCTCTTTGTGACTTAATAAAGAATATGGCGTGGTGTGATTGTGGTGGGTAGCCGGGCTGCTTCTGCAAGGGATGATTTCACCAAAGACGAATGAATCTTTCCATTCTTGCATATTCTATTCACAAAGGAAATAATGGCTTAGTTTTAGTTATACTGCTTTGAAATTCAAGAGAATGAAAGTATGATTTTGGGGTGCAAGCGAAAAATACAGCCTAAAAATTTTAAATAAGTTCATTTCCCAATGATTAGAATTGATTTTAAATTTTCTTATTCCGCACTGAAAATAGATTCAATTTGGCATATATATCAATTTGATATGTTTTCTAGTATATTTATAGCTCTAATCAAGGGCTTGAAACTCGCATACCACCAAAGTAAGTTAAATATCGAGAGCAATTTCCGTGGACTATATTTTCGAGACTGGCACACGATACGAGTAAGTTAAATGTGGATGTCATCTCCGTGGAGTATCAAAATGCATCTTTATCTAGAACTGGTTTCCTTACCTATCAAGGATCTGGCAATGATTTTATTGATTCTTAGCTTATCATGTTAGGATTTATAATCAGTTCTGTTTATGTAAGTGCATTTAAATCGAACGAAGATTCACTAATTTCTATTCAAGAACCTCATTTATGGGTAGGCATTGCAATTAACGTGATTATAAGATCTCTACATATAAAATCCGTCGTATGATATTCATTTGAAATCTTTACAGACGTGAAGAAAAATACCCGACTTTCTATTGAAAAATTTTTGATTTTCATAAATGTTTATGATTTTTATGGCTTTGGTGTGTTAGACTCCAGTTTAATTTCATTCCACAATGAAACCCTCATGAGATTCCTCGGTTCAGCTCACCAATAAAATTATTAATCGTATTAATGATGTAACAACACAGTAAGTAATTCAGCCATGTTGAACTATACAATGTGCCTTCTGTATTGTTTAGAAAACTACATCAATTTTCTTCGTGAGAGGCCGATTTTATGTTATTTGATTTTCACTAACTATATATATTCATATTATTCTAGTATTTTTTTATTTCTCACATTTTCATAATCATATCAAACGAAATTTTTTAGGTCATGAAATGCACTCACATTTCTTAAACCCTCTTCCTACCATTAAACTCCTGTCATTGATTAAAGATTTAATGAATTATATAACAATGGACATAATGCACAAATGTTCTCCGCTTTAAATTATATTCCATTCGCCAGTTAAAGCGTATGAGTTTGAATTAAATTTTACAGTCGATGAACAAGCAGTCCTAAAAACGAAGTTCTTTTGATTCGATAATGATGTGTTTCGCTACATTCAACGAATTTAACTTTTCTACATGACTCAAAATCTCAGGCATTTAAAGTTCGAACGATAAATTAAGATAAAACAATACAATACTTTGTGAAATTCATACTACGTGCACGGCCACAGACTTTGACAAACACCGTTTCATTCCAAACCAACTTTTGAAACGAAATATATCTATGACCGTAAGGCTCGATTATATAAAAACTTTATTAAAGAATCTAATATATGCTTTTGAACATGCTGCATGTCATGTGATAATAATTGCATTATATAACAAGCAGTCTCTCTATATCGGCAATATCAGCACCGTATTATCCTGGTGATCTCTCATGGTTCTTGAGAGATCACAAGGATAAAACGGTGCTGTTGTCATTATCATTGACGACTATCGTAAGGATTGTCAAGCTCTGTCAGGATTATTATATTCAAGCGTCGTCATGGTTGTAATAGGTTGGCACAAATCAGAATATCCTATAATCCAGATGTGAGTATTGTCAGTATCTGCACGTGTGAGTATTGTCTTGTGTTACCGGATCCCCGTCCGCCCAATACTCCTGTCTAGGCCCCCCGGTAGCACTCAGCCTCAGCGTCGATGGCAAATACTCGGGCAAATACTGTGCGTCTCCTCGGGTCCGGTGGCAGAGCCTTAGGCTTCCTTCGACGTAAAAATTTTTTCAACATTCAAGTTATTTTGAGTGAAATTTCGGTATTTGTACGTTTCAAACTTGTTCGAACGACCATCGTTGTGACATTGCGCACATTATATTTTTTTCATAATATTCAGTGAAATTTGACGCAACAATAAATGCGATCAAAAATATTCGTTATGATTTTTCATCTTTGAAGTCACTAATTTCTTGGTATCCTGTCGATTAAAAAAAAATAGTTTACGGAGTTGCACATTTTCGCACTAAATCGGTACATTTTCGTTATTTCAGTACAGTATTTAATTCATCTAATTACAGAGGGCGTGTGAATTTTTGGTGTGAATTGGTCCCAGAAAATTGTTTTCAAAGCAATTAATTCTGCATTCCATCTACATTTTTCCAGGAACTTCTAGAAGTTCAATGAAACCCTTCTAATGTTGCATGACAATTCAATGCACTGCCTCAATGACGTCCTCAAGACTGGACATCCAAATGATATAATAATGTTCACAATAGAGAAAATATCGTTTGTCATCATCGGCGTACAGAAACAAAATTTGCAAATCAGTGCGATACGACCAATGCTGGTGACAGTTGCCGTTAGGATTTGGAACAATATTTGTGAATGATTGTAGAGGCAACAAATACAGAGTAGAGACGACGTGGGTAATTATCCAGCTGAGAGACGCTCGTTACACTCACGCGTCTCAATGTTTACAATGACTTAAATAATATGACGTTGCTGATATAAAATATATTAATATTATGTTACTGCAATATCATAGCGTGATTCATCATAGAATGCTTATGTCTGTATTTTATCATATCGCTAATAAATATAATTAGGCGTTTTAACATCGTTAACAACGGGCGCATGCACATTAACCATAGAATTGCATGTATTTATATGTAAAAAATATATATAGCGATGCGCGCGCCTTCGTCTCACATTGGTAATCCCAAAAGTTTTCTTAAGAAGAACTCGGCGGAAGAACTTCTCGAGTCTTAGTATAGGAAGCTGATATTCTCAATATCGACTAGGCATTTCCTTAGACTTTACCATCAAGGAGGCATTCTGAATTCCTGAATTTTAATTACGAGCAAGAGGGAACTGGATGAAGATATCCACACCTCGATATTATTGTCACTAAAATTTATGATGACTGTACTTTCAAGAGATTTGTGGGCCGTAAAAAGATGAAATATTGAGCTGTTGAACTTCAATGCCATACAGGACGAACAAAACTGAGAGGAGGCCATAATTTCGTAAGGATAGAAATGTGTATTTGTGGCACAACTTTGATTACTTCGTTTGGCGCTACAGTAAAAACAAAACAAGTGTATAATTATCAACTTTTAGAGTTCTCTACCATGTGAACATTATAGATAAATGAAGAGCTTATGAATGAATTATTAATTAAATTGTATTCATGTGTCAGGCGAGTTCACAATTTGAGTTCTACATGCATTGTGCATTGCAGGTTTGCGGTGACGCATTCTCTCAATGACGTCAAATGAAAATAAACCCAGATTAATCATTTATACGTCCCAATGCATAGTGTACCTTAATTATTTCCACTTCAGCGGCCTCAGTTAAAAGCGTCGAATTTCCCCATTTAATTTAGCGGTTGTGTTTGGGAGGCCAGGGGATGGCCGCCGGTAATACTGCCACCAGGGCACAAGTG